TCGCTCGGCAAATTCCAGTCTCTCCTTAACTCCGTGCCGCTTTTTTTTCTTGATTTTTCCCTCCCTCATCCTCGCTCAGGGGCCCCGTTAGGGGACGTCTTGCTAGCAGAACCGTCGCCACAAGGATCATCCTCTCTGGCCTTTGTCTTCGTATTTCATGTCTCTTTCTCTTTGTCATTCTTCTATTTTCTAGATTTTCTCTGGACATTGTTAACTTCAGGAACTATATGTGCGATCTCTAAGTAACTCTTGTCTTCTGACTGTCCCTGTGTATGACGCGTTCTTACCGCTGACAGATGCCATGTACCACGGTCTTCGCGTCCCCAACGGTGATGTTTGGGTGTCCTTAATTTCCCTTCTGCTTCTCCTGGAGCCTGTTTTTTCTATGAGCTCAGTTAGCCTTACTCTCCTGGTGTACCTGGTCACCTTTGGCCTTTCGTTCATTCTCACAAATGAAGGAGGAGGCAGTCTGCATGGTCGGGGGTCTCCTCCCTACCAGACAGACTGATTACGGACACTTGTCTGTCAGGCAGGTGCTCTCAATCCCAAAAAAGGAGTCTTTGCTCTGCATGTCATGGCCCTACCTGACACCTCAGCTCTCCAGGGAGGATGCTCAATCGTTTTTTAGAGAAGGACACTCCACAGGCTCTGGTCTGACTGCCTTGGGTTCTCTGTGCAGGCTGGGTCATTCCAGGGGTCCTGGGATGTCATCGTGCCGTCTTGCTTTATAAAAGTAAAGAGATGAAAGCAAACAGGTTTAGGGATAACGCCAGATAGGTTCTGGCTTTGAGAGGATGGAAAGGATTTGGGGAGGTCTTTCCTCAATTTTGTAAAAGTCTTTTAATAATTTAATTTAAATCACTTTCTCGATCAGGAAATATTCAAAACGTACGAATGGGTATACAATGAAAAGTCTCCCTCGTACCCCATCTCCTAGATGCTCAGGTCCCCTCCCTTGAGGCCGTCAAAGTTGCAGGTTTGGGTGTCTCCTTCCAAAACTATCCTATGCGTATATAAATAAATATACATATGTTTACATATGTGCATTGTATATTTGCATACATTGCAAAGAATACATACAATCTGTTACACTGCACCTATGTTTTGGAACTCAAATTCACTCATAAGGGAGTGGTGAGCTAGGGGAAGGGTGCCCATAGGGTGTGAAGTCACATCGGTGCACCTGTGATCCTCCCCCGGCATCGGCATCATCCATCCCACCACATAAAAGCCATCAAGCAGGTAGGCCTGGGTTCACTCCCAGAAATGGCACGCAGCTGGGGACGCTCTGAGGCCAGCACGCCGGGAACTGGGACCTGGAGTTTCCTGGACAACCGACTCAAAGGCCAGTTACTGCGTCCCAGTCCCTCAGCCTTTTAATTAGAACTCTTATCTGCAAGTAAGTGGCTTAAGCAAAAGGTGAAGAGTCCATCTGGCTTCAGGCACTGCTGAACTCAGGCCTCAAGCAATATCATCATCGGGAGTGATGTTTTTCTCACTCTCAGCTCCGACCTGACCTGCGAGGCAGGTGGCCCTCGGTGGCAGGCTCCTGGGCGGTCCTTGATGGCTGCAGGAGGACCTCTGGCGGGGGCGATCTGTCTACTCCAGTTCCAGCTTTATATCCTTAGAGGTTCAAGTTCAGTGGAAAAAGTAAGCAGAGTCTTGTCTGGTGACCCTAAGATTTACTCTGATGTGCCCGGCTTGGGCCATGTGCCCACTCCTAAAATAATCACGCTGGGTTTGGGGAAGATGATCTGCTGCTCGATCTAAGTTTGGACCCCACACTTTATCCCCGGAACTGAGGAGAAAGCCCCCCACACCGGCACTTAGCGAGACGATGAGGGAAAAGTCGGTCCCCACATGGAAAGCCGGGGCCGTCCCTAGAAAGGGGGCAAATGAAGGCCGTGGCCACCTGCTTGTGAGACTGCAGACTGACAATGGCCCGGCTGGTCCTCCGAAAACATGTTCCCCACCCCAATGTTTTAATAAAAACATCACTGAACCTAAACCAACGTTAACTATATGAAAAATTTAAATATCTCATTTGTGGGGATAAAAATCAATCAAGAAAGAACTAAAATCCAAGACAAGAACAGATAACGAGGAGCATTCTAAAGGGGCTGTATTTTTCAGAGAAGATAAAGACACTGATTATCTTTAAAATTCGTTTAAATTTCACATGCTTTTTCAAGGGAAATCACACACACACACACACACACACACAAACCAGAAACCCTCCTGAGTTGGGATGGGGGTGGAGAGGGAGGAAACTAAGCCAGTAAATGCCAAAGAAGTTCACAGCAGCACCCTCGCTGAAAACCAGCTAGAAACGTCTCCTTCCTACTTCGGAGGGGAAATTTTTTTTTTTTTTAAACAAAGTTGATACTTTTTCCTAAAACCCAGATGCAAATTTTCTGCGTGAGCACGTCTTTGGACCTCAGGCTGGGGCAAGAGCCGATGATTGACTTCCCGCCGCGGGAAAGCCCCGCCCTCTCGCCGTTTCGGGGTTCTCCCATCGGATGTACTTTTTTCCAGGGAGTTTTCCTGATTGATCCAGACGTCTGACGAGCAGAGGGGCTGGGCTATTCCCAGGTGTCTCCCAGATTAAGGGAAAAAAAAAAAAAGCACTCGCATCACCGCCACGGATCCAGGTTGAGCCCAGAAAGCGCAGGCGCCCCCAAACCTCCCCGGCTTCCTGCAGCAGGTCCTCAGGAAGGGGGAGGGCGGAGCAGAGGGAAGGGAGGGAGGGGTCGCGTGCCCAGCACAGACCGTGCCTTCCCCGCGGCCCCCCACACCCCTCCGCGACCCCTCGCACCCCCACAGACCCCCACCCCCCAAGTCCCAGCAGCCTGCCCGGCTCCGAGAGGGCGTGCCAAGCTCTGACGCCTGCGGTGTTCTGAAGGGACAGGGCTGGGTCTGGGACCCCGAACCCGAGGCCGTTTTAATGACCAGGTTGTGGGATCTGGAACGTGGTTCTGATGGTACCGGACCCAGCATCCAACCGGGAGACGGGGCGGTGACGAAACGCAGCGGAAAGCAGTGGCGAGGAAAGAAAAATAATAGAGCCATTTCCCGTTTATACTCCATCTCTTCTGTGAATACATTACACGTGCATGTAGGTTTGGGGTGATTTACTGGACCCCGCGTGAGGGTCCAGAAGCCAGTTCCATGTGTATATACACAGCTTTGCTGCCTAGACCGAGTTGCGCGAACAGACAAGTAGGCGCTGGGTTTTCTAACTAAACAAAAGCCAGGGGACGCGGGGTGGGACCTCTGATGTCCTACAAATAAGAAAAGCAAAGATTCAGAAACTCGAACTTTGCGCAGGGCGAGGAAAGGGGAGGGCGGGGGAGGCTGGAATGCAGGAAATGGGGGAGGGGAGAGGGGAGACCTTCCTCCCCCAGAGATTTAGAAACTTTGGGGGTTTAAAAAAGAGAAGTTGCCAGACTGACATTTAAGAGGTCATTTTATGCCAAAAAAAAAAAAAGAGAGGGGGGGTGCCAAGTTTATCTTTATTTACCACGATGAAAAATGAAAAGAATTTCTCTCTGATCTGGCCATAAAAGGACCGAAAGGATCAACTAGAAACACCGAAGCGCAGAAATGAGTCGCATTAATTTCTAATCTCGAAGGAAGAAAGTGGTGACGGCCTCTCTTACCCCTCCCCCCGCTTACACTCCTTATCCACGAAATGCTTTTTTTTTTAAAACTCCAAGGTTAACGAGTTCATAAAAAGAACTGAAACAAAGATTCAATTCAAGGGGCCTTGTTCCATGTCTGAATTCTGCCCCGCAAGCCACCCAGATGTCACCATGGGCCATGCCCGCGGTTCTCAGCAGGCGACACAGATCACCCGTGCAGATTCTAGGGTGGAGCAGAGAGCTCGCAGTTCTGGCAAGTTCCACTCTCTCCACCGCAGTCCCTCTACCAGGGGATGGCAAACGTTTTCTGTGTCAGGCCATTCGGTCTCTGCTAAGACTATTCAATGCCGCCCTCTCCCCTCTAAAGCGCTTGAGGCAGTATTGGGCAGCGGGTAAATGTGGGGGCGCTGAGCTCGTCTGCTTTAAGACCAATTTTGCCCACACGTTCGCTCTTTTAGTGAGCCCGTACCCTACAC